GCGTGTTCTGTCCTGCTTCAGATACCACTATTACGTAATTCGGCTGTAATCCCACCTCTGCCTCAATGTTTGATCAGCATTTGGGGTAATTTAATCTTGTATCTAAGGTTTACTGTAAACCACTAATCTCCTAGATAACAAAATTATTAATTAAACGTACGGCACCAAAGGAGACGCACGACTCAATTGGCAAGATGCAGAGAGTCCCAGAAAGGTTAATATTCCGTATTATAGTATATGTACGTATTTTTTGGGACACTGTATAACTGCACTTGTGTATAAAAAGTAGCTCACATTGCCGGGGTAAATGTCAACTTTTTCGTGTCCTTCATTAAGCACTGCACTGGGGGGTGATTCTGTAACTCTACACTAGATAGAGATGAGTAATCAGCTTCACGTTCTAGCCGCTTAACTCCCGTAGAAATAGCACGGGATACCAGTTGGATGGGGAGTTGGATGTATTCTTCCGCGATTCTGGTCGCGGTGCCAAAGAGAGGCATCTCTGTCATTGGCAGGGTACCAAAAATCGAACTCGAATCGGACACGACAGGCAGATATTGCACTGACTGTGCTGTCGAGGCAAGTTTGAGCGTATTTTATCCGAACTACGCTGTATGACCACGGCCCTTATAGGGTATTATGTGGTTACGTCTTAAAATTATGATGATGTCCCAGTTCCTGACCAAGTCATGATCATTGCGTTTAGATCGTTGTGATTTCATTATCTCTGTTGTCAATGAGACAGAATTTAACGTTTATAATTTATGAATTACGACTATTTGGAACCGAACTCATATTTTAAATTTAATGTTGTGATTGTTTAATCTGATATTTGTCCTCGGGCACTGTTAATTGCTTTCTGCAAAATATTGATTGCTGTTTGCATGAAACAAGGCCACTTCGGACAGTCCAGAATCTTGTGCTAATAGGCGTAACCATTATATTTGAAACGAAAATTAGTGAAATCGGTCTTTGGTTATCGTGGAGTGGTTCCAACCTCTTGTGGCTGGAGATGATGACCTCAAAGTGCGTAGTAGTTGCGAGTGCTTGTCTGTCCTTTCGCCATTAACTTTTAAACCTAGTGGCATTTTCATTAAACCGTGTATGAACACCGAGATTCACTGTTAGTGTTTGCCAAACTTGCGTTAAGGCTGTCGGTAAGTAATACAGGAGTGCAGAAGTTGACCTCGTGAAATTAAATGTTGCAGTAGTTACAGAAGACTATAGGGTCGCAACCTCAAACATTCCTGCAGCCTTGGAAAACTTTAATGGTAATGTGGACATCAACAGAGCTTGGGAAAATGTTGGAGAGAATATCAGAATTTCAGCCAAAGGCAGTTGAGATCGTAACGAGTTAGAGCAGCATAAAACGTGGTTTGACGAAGAATGTTCAAAATGTCAGATAAAATGGAGCATGAAAAATTGCGGCTACAGCAGAATCTGAGCAAAACGTATGGAAATAATATGGACGCTGTAAATCGCGAAGCTAGGAGGACTTTCATGGCCAAATAAAAAGGACTTGTGAAATTGATGGGATATAAGCAATCGGAATAAAAATATTGAAGACCCCCCCCCCCCAATACAGAGACATAAATACGTTTTGAAGGGTTAACAACCGAGAAGTAATTTGGTTAAACATAAGAATGGTAATCTATAAAAATAAAGTTTAAAATGCAAAAAAAAATTCAAATTTTCTGTTGCATATATTGGAAGGAAAGTATGTCTGTCATGTTAAGGGAAGAACACTGACCGAGGGTGTTTGAGAACAGGATGTTAAGAGAATATTTGGACCTGAGAGAGGTGACGTGAGAGGAGGGTGGAGAAAAGAGCATTATGAACATCGTAGTTTGCAATCTTCGCCAGATATTGTTAGGGCGATCAATCAACCGGGTTAAGATGGGCTGGGCACATAGAGTAAATGTGATAAATTATAAATATACTGAAACTTATATTGGGATACCTGAAGAGATGGGCTCACTCTCAAGATCTAATAGTAGACGGGAGAATAATATTTAAACGGAACTAGGAAGATATTTTTGGGGTGTGGATTGGATACACGACGGACCATTGTGAACAGGGCAAAGAACTTCCGGGTACCATAAAATGATGTTAACTTCGTGACTGGTTGAGCGTAATGTCAGCTTCTGAAGACGTCAGTGCTCCAGGGAGTTCATTATGAATGTCTTCACTGTAAACCTAATCTTATTTTTAATATTGCCATCATGGCGTCGTTACAGACATTGGCCCCACTAGTACAATGCAGAATACTGTACACGTATCTTTCTTAATGTCACTAACGTCTTCCGGTTTTCAAACGCCGTTCTAGCTTGTACGAGGCGCGTCCTCAAAGTAAGTTTCCCTGGGGCCGTTTACAGAAACAAAACACAATTTCATGGAAATATTTATTGCAACAGATACAGCAAGTGTCCAGCTATTTTTCAACATATTCACCACCGGAATTGAGACATTGGTCATACCGTGGGACCAACTTTTGAATACCTGTGTCGTAGAAGTCGCCCGCCTGGGATTGGAACCACTGTGTGACAACCATCTCCGCCTCTCTGTCATTCTCAAAACGCTGACACTGACCGGACAGGAATTTCTTGAGGTGTAGGAAAAGATGGAAATCACTGGGAGCGAGATCCGGGCTGTAGGGTGAATGATTAAACACCTCCCAGCGGAACTCCTGCAGGAGACTAGGTTTGCTAGCTGTGGGACGAGTGGGAAACTTACTTTTGGGACGCGCCTCGTACATCCGCTATAATTCATCGCCATCTCTCGATGTCACTGCATTATTCATCTAACGGTCCAGTCTTCCTTCGTTTTTTTGTTGTTAAAATATCGAGCACTTGTTTGGACAATTCGTTGTCTAACTGGATCATATATTCTCCGGTGTTATTTGGATGTCTGCGTTGAATTAATTCCTCTGCGCTTACATCTTCCAAAACAGAACATTGTCTTTCCTTGACGGTGTTCATCATCATCATCTCCCAAAACGTCCGTTTCCACTTCCAGAAGATGTCGTTCTCATCATAGAATGCCTCTCTTATGAAACACAGCATCATAGCGTAATAGTATAGCAGCACATCAGCACAGTTACCGCAGAAGAAAATTAAAAGTCGGACAATAATTTAATTTATGAGAGATGAGGTTTTTATGCCGGGGATGATAATTCTGTTCTTGTGGATTTGAGCGGAGTGTAGACTCGTCGGTAGATGACGACGTTTCGGAGGAACATACTGTCTACATCTTCAGAGCCAAATATGGAGACATGGAGATAGTTTTTTTTTCCTCCGAATGCTCCTCGTTGTAACCTTTCACCATTCATAAATCTTCGTATAGGCCCGGAGCTTAATATTTTGGTACAGTGTACTGTAATTCTCTCCTCCTGCCTGTCCATTTAGCTCTAATAGGGCGCATGTTCTTGGTAATGAACTGTGCGTTCATTGACGAATGAATGAATGAATATGTCTTTGATATGATTGGGAGGGGTTAATGAACTGTTTCCTCCACAATAAACTGGACATCGGGCTCTTACTTGTAAATGGAACCAGGGGATTGGGCAATTGTTCGTTTATGAATTCCCTGTCTTGTTGCACCAGGTACTGTCCACAGAACACGAGAAAAGCCCTGCAAGGGGAAGTCGTTTCTGGTGCGGTGCGGGGGGAATGTTTACTGCCTGGTGGACTAGAGGCCTGCTATTGGTGGGAAGTGTGATACGTCACAGTTTTACGCTACTACACAGACTAAAAACATCAAGCCGTTAAGAGTAGCGTGTAGTGAGTGCACCTCTAATGTGTTCTGTGGGTGTTGCGATAATATTCTAGATTAAATCGCTGTGCCACTGTGAGGTAATCTTAAAGCTGTGCCCATTAGAACACATAAAAGATTGTTGTCTGTTGTTCGTTCAGTGGTTGTGGAACGAATGCTTTTAAGATGGGTCGTAACTCACCGCGAAATCTTGCGCATGCGCGTATATCGAATTCCTAGCAGGGATTTTCTCCTGGTCTGCGGACTGTAGTATCATCAGTGGACAGAGGCCATCTTTGCGTACATGACATCATCTAGTACAAAGTGCGACAGTAATCAGTCTTGTGGTGTGACGAGTCGGAATGTTCCGTTGTGTTAGCTATTTTGATGTCTGTGAAACATCACCGGACATTGTAATAGAAGATGGCTGGGCGACAACCACCTCTGAAACGTCGTTCAAATTTTACCGGACTATACGGTGCAACAACACAGATCGGAGTGTTCTGAGGACACGTGCAATGTTCACGATAACTCTGCGCAGGAACAGACTGGGTCGGGGTTCATCCCGCAATTTGGACGGGCAATTTCGGGTTCAGTGTCCTCCGCCACAGACGAACGCCGATCACAGCTTTGCAAGCCTTCTGCCGTCTCCCCAAAACATTCCATCGTGTCCCGGTTCAAGTTGCCTTGCTTCTTTACTGACATACAATTAAACCTTTCAACGTTAGTTCTGTGGGGCAAAGTCCGTCTTGAGAAGCTTCTAGAGTCTTACGTGATCCAAAATTTCCTCGCCTTTTGTAAATCTGAAAGGTTCAATATCATGTTCATAATACTCTGTCCTCAGCCATGCGAATTCAGTGGGCACATTCATACCCAATTACTTCGAGAGCCAATCAATATTATCGTCACGGCATACGTCGCTCAAATAATCTCTTGTTTTTAGGTTTTACGACGAAAATTCTGAATGCAATTAGCATCTACCTTGCTTGCGGCATGCACCCTTGAATCAATCGACATAATTTTCGCTGAAGCGGAATTATTAATTACCTTGTCTTATGTTTCTTCTGCATTTTTCTCTCCCTCAGGATCAGACTTTGCCGTCATCACTGCGTTCTCAATAGCCCCCAATTTGCTTTGTTCCTTTTCCGTCCTAACTCGAGATCCTGTGTCACATTTCATTTCCGGCGAGTGGCTGCTAAAACCCGCTCACCCCAAAGATGTAACCTGAGGGCTCTTTCTGTGTTGTGCAGGGAACGTGTTTGTGATCGCAGCCATCCTGCTGGAACGCAACCTGCAGAACGTGGCCAACTACCTGATAGTCTCACTAGCGGTGGCAGATCTCATGGTGGCGTGTCTCGTCATGCCTCTTGGTGCTGTGTACGAGGTAAGTGACATCTGGAATATCTGAAGCTGTGAAGCCGTCGTCTGGTTTATAGCGCCTTTTGATCTGTTCGAAGTTTGGAGACGTTTCAGAGGTACTTTCTGCTTCCATCATCAATGCGATGTATCCTGAAGACAACCATCGTCATGCTGGCCGAATCTCAAATCCTGCTATGAATTCATTTGTTCCTTGTTTCTCAAATATTACGAAGCTTCACGTTACATTCCGTCCTTCTGACCCCCATAATGAAAGGGTTCATTCGAGTGAGTGACTTGGTGTTACGCAAGAGCTCGGAGTCAGCTTAGAACCGACGCATCCTAACTGTTGCATATGTGAGAAAGATATAATTTAAGTTCTTGCAGTGAGTTACATACATATGCGCTGTAATCGCGGACCATAGAAACTTTACTTTATCAACATTCAGAATCCCCAACAGTCACACGTTCCTCATTTACATGTTTACGGTTTAAAGCGACTAAGGAACGCGTTCTAAGGGATCTGTAAGGGGCGGCGTGGCTGTTCAAGGAGACGTTAACATTGGATGCAACTGATATATGATTTGAATTATTTTTAACTAAAGTGTGAATTCAGACTGTATTCGTCTGGGTTGATGCATGTGAAAGTTTCGACGAAAAATACTGCATCCATCTTCAAAGCGGTTGTCAGAGGTATTACGAAATGCATGTTTTATATGAGACAGGAGATGACTCAGGCTAAGGATAAGAGTATGAGGAGGGGAGATGGATTACTAATCGGCCAAACAGCAAAGGAGCGTTTAGAGGGCCTTATATAGACAACGCTAGATCAGTACAGACAAAAGAGACAGTGGGGCCCACGTTAAAAAGAGGATTTCTTGAAGAGAGTTGTCATCCACTGTTTCACGGTGTCAGGAAGGGGTTTTCATAACATGTTCAGCGAGAATACATCCCGACAGTCATAACCTGTACTAACCAGCTTTTATTACTCTACATCAGACATAACTTGTATACGTTGCGGGCTATGACCGATCGCGTCATATTCTACTAAATGATTCTGGGAAAAAATTCTTTCCTAGAACAAGATTACCTCTTATCACACCTTCTTTCGTTGTACTTACAAGGGCTGTTTTATTCTTTCTGTCTTTTTGTGACCCATCTTGTGTATCTGGTGCCCTGAAAAGGGCCAATTTCTAACTTCCCGGACACGGCAGCAGTTCGTCTTCTCGTCCAACGGCTCTGACTGACCAATCTACGGATCTGAGCTTTCCTAACAACCCTACATAAACTACCCACTTTCTGAAACTTCCCCTTAGCAGTTTTTTTTTCTCCGAATAGTTGGCACGAGTCCTTCAATCTTATTGAAATTTAACACTCTTATGGAAAATTAACTTTTTTTATTTATTTGGCGATTTTCAAGAACGCGTCCACCGATTAAAAAAAATAAATTGCCGTAGTCTGTACGTATTACAAGCCCGGCTTAATTTAATACCCGTTATAAACAGAGACTGATATAAATATACGTAAGCACGGGTTACGTTTTATCGATTTTCTAGTCTATTTAAAATTACAGTTGTGAGCCTTTAAATATTATAAATTTAACGTTGATAAAATTACAGAAATGTATCATTCACATTTAATAGTCGTTGTTGGCTTCATTATATAGCACTCTAAGGCACATTCTTCCCAGAAATTCTGCTTCATCTGTGTTTTACCTCATGATGTTAGCCGGCTTGAAGCTGAAACTCAAGCCCTTACTAACGAAGACCTCGGAGCGAAACATTCGGATGTTTCACTACCTAAAACGGAACGCACTTCGAATTATGGCCTGAGATTCCAAGGCTATTTTCTCGGAGGCTATTATATTTTGTGAAATATGCGTATAGTTCGTGTTCAGTGACGTACGTTATAGAACACGTTTCTGTTATTCAGTGAAATATTATTGGATTTCACCCACAGTGCAATATCAGATACGCGGCTGTACTGAAAATACATTTTACATCTGGTGATGGTTACCATGCCTGAGCTACGAGACCATTTGCTGAAATAGAATTTACAGCTTCCAGCTATCAGTACAGTCAACCAAAACAAGATAACGACAAGTACAGCATGGTCCAGCATGCAGTAAACCAATACATAAAAGAACTCTACATGCGTCCTTTTTTCAGCTGATCATTTCCACTTTATAAAGTGGCAATTATTTACAATTCACGTGTATCTCAATTATATAAGATGGCTGCCTTCTGGGTTGTAGCGCCATGTAGTATGGTAGAATTTTACCATCGTTTCAACGATGACTTCTCGCCCTGACGATGGAGGCAACAAGGAATTCTGAAACGGTGATAAAATTCTACCAGTCTACATGGCGCTACAACCCAGAAGGTAGCCATCTTCGGACTCAACGCTGTGAAAACGTCAAATCCTACATCTTAATTATATTTATATTAATTACCTCTTATTACAATATATATACTATATTTAATAGCGTCTAATACAGTCTTTCGTCTCATTTCAAGCCATATTTTCCTATTTATTTATGTTTGTTGTCTTTAATATGTGCTTTGTATTTGTTAGTATTATATTACGCGTACCTGTACACTGATTATACAGGTATTATTGAGTCAAATTTACGTACTTGTGATTTAAAGTTAAAAGTTGGTGTATTTTGGTAAGTTTCTGTTCTATACGTTCGTCTCCTGTCTAATCCTTGTGGTTTTTCGTTTTATTGCTGTTAATGACTCTTTGCTGTTCGTTTGTCACGGGAACTTGCAGTCCATCCAATTACGTTAAAATAATCCACGATCGTTTGTTTCTGCATATGTGCCAATTTACAGCTCACTTTGGCCCTCCAAATCACCAATGCGTGTTCATTGCAGTTGGAGATGTTTAATTTAATAAGCTAATAAATCTGGTTAAAACTAGTTTAATCATTTTGATCGGTCTAGGATTATGATTGTGTTATTGATGATTATTATCTATAGGGTTTAATTAATCCTTTAGAACCCTGTAATGCATCACGATAAAAGCTAATGGTTTAGCACATTATGTTAATATATAACGCTTTGAAGTCCGGTGGGAACCAAATGTTCCAGCTGCTTTTGTAATCAGTAGCCATGCGTTTTGCAGTTGTGGGCATTTTGGAAATTTTGTACACAGTCGCTCGTGTGAGATAGTATATCTTTGGTACTTTCGTCGGAGTACTGTTGCGTTTTTTTATGGTTCAACTGTACCACACAGCTAAAATGTATATGGACAGTTGCGCTCTAGATAGCAGGATGGTGGTTTCTTCAATTTCTCAGTCTTAGAAGCTTCACAAAGCAATCAAATGGAAGCTGCGGTCCTCAGTTCAAATGAAGCAGGGATCAAGTTACTTCTAAATGGGGTTATGTGTGTCCTGTTTGTTCAGGCAGCAGTGGCGTATGGCTACCACTTTACTACTGAAGCATCTCAAGAGTTCGCAGTCAATAAAAGCACTTCGCTGTCTGTTTAGACTTTATGTTAACTAACAACCCGTTTGTATAGAGCCTCGGATTGAAGAGCCAATGACAGGAACATTCATTTTGGCTTTCACTTGGGTGTGTGAGCGTCCGAAATTCAACACGCTGCATATTTATGCCAGCATTATTCTGATGAATCACAATTACTGGAAAATGGCCGGATTCCTATCCAATCACAAATAATGACAGTCTGTTACACGATCCCACACTACTTTTATTACTTTCACCCTGAGAGAGCAGAAAGTTTATCCGATAAGACGATTTTTTGTATGATACACGAATAATGTTGTACCCAGAACAATTTACAAAGGGTTTGCGGTTCCAAAAAAATGCCTGTTATACAACATGTTATAAAATTATCGTTATTTTACACCATTCACGAGCTGTTTCAGACCATTTCTTATCTTCAACACATGCTAAAAGAAGATCTATTTGAAGATCATCTTCTAGTATCTTAACTGGCCTCAACTGAGGTTTTACGTCGTCTCATATGTGTGATATATGCTGCCTTGCTTACATTTATGCAAATGCCTTGTCGTTATTAGGTTAAGAATGTGAATGTGTGGGGGACAGAACGACACATGTGACTGTAAACAACATTTGAAAAAATCTTGTAGAGACAATTAAAAAATAAAAGAGATTACTGAAGTTAGCACAGTACTGTAAACCCCTTGACAAAATTAAAAAGAGATTTTTCGAGAAAGAGATTTAAGGCCAATTATTGAATAAGCTGTGATTTGATAGGATTTACAAGTCTAAATTCCAATTAGTTCATTAAGAAGATGATTTATAACCCTCAGGATATCAGGACTTTTGTCTCACCGTTGTGATGAGTCGGTTTGGTGATTTGGGGAGGACCTGTACTTCCCCATGAAGATGAAAACACGCCGACGTTTTTAAACAATGAAACTTCAGCCGATATTAACACTTACAAATGAAATCGTGAGGTTGCCTATGTACATATCTCCTAATCATCTTATGTCGAAATAATCTTCTCGCCATGTTATACACCCATGCATTTGAAATCGTAGTTTTCAGTGTTTTTCAAGTTCACCAAACTTAATCGTTCTCTCATATCATTCGACCGTAGCGTAATAATAATAATTGGTTATCTCGATAATCGCTGGTGAATTCTGCACATTCAGGGCTGTTGTCTGCTGTCAGGTGTTGCAAATTTTCACTTAAAAGAATTTGCAGAAGAAATTGTATTTCAGTATTACTTTCCATCCTGTATTTCATAGTTCTCGGCAAAATGACAATTTTTTTAACATTTGAAAGTCTGTAAGAGTAACATTCCAGACCTGTGGCAACTTAATGTACAGATGATACAGATTTTTATAGCAGTTCGTGAAAAGATGCAAATCAAATTTTGTCGCTTAGGTGCCCACCAATGTCACTCAGAATGAATAAAAAAGCAGATAATTCTGTTATGATTAACATAAAATGTCATATTTAAATTTGCAAGGAGCCAGACATGAACATAACAGTATTTGTGGTATTTCAAGGTCATTGTTGTATATGGGTAAAGGTT